GTGAATATTCAGAAACTTTTTATCAAGTACTTGTTTAAATTCTTAAATGAGCTCATCATAACCTTTTTATGCACCTCTCCTGTATGTGTCATACAAATATTAGAATAATTGAGTTTTACTAGCACAAATGTTTCTGTGAAGCAAATTTTTAGAGCTTGATGTATGACTGTTTATGGAAAGGAGAATGTTAAAATCTCACACACAAGTATCTATGCCAGAAACTCATGCTCGCTCACTTAGGAAAAGGGTGGGGGACGGGACCATCAGCCTCATTCGAGCGATCCTAGCTAAGCTCATTTGTCAGATTGACTTGTATGCAACTTAAAAATTGAATGCATATATTCTAAGAAACTTCAAATGTATCTGTTTTTCAAGCCATTCCACAGAGTAGCAGAACTTTTTAAAAATACTTGCTTTTTTTCTGATAAGCACTATTTCTGATTTTTTTTTTTTCTCCTCTCCCCCTCTTTACATGCGAGGAAGCAGCAAATTTGAGATTCATCTGCTTAGCATCACCGAATAACTTAACACAGGGATGCAGAACAGAGCAAGGTCATACTTATCTTACAGGTTAGGGTCCAACTTTGGTTTTGAAGTTCCAGCGCAATCTGGAGGGAGAGTCTTGGAGAGAGGTGATTTGGGTGGCTTTAGTGTGGCTACTCACATGCGCTTGTGTTTGCAGATTTGCTGGCAAAAGTTCATTAGTGTTAAGTCACTTTTGAGTACTGAAAATCTTTGCAGGACTTTTATTTAACTTTTAACAAAGTGAACTTGCACGTCTGGAGAGCCAATGTTCAATCAGCTTTTGCTTCTACAGAGAAATCAAAGACCAAAATCTTGGACTGTTTATTCTGTGTGTGCACCAGAAACCATCCTTGTGCATTCTTCAGTGGCCTTGTAGCCTTTCTGGCATTAATAAGCATACATTACAGTTTCACTTGGGGGAAAGAGCTGGAAAATCCTTACTGTTTCAAAGCATCAAAAGCTTGAGAAGTCTTGGCTGAATCCGTTGGATTTCCTTTTTGATTTTTAAATTTCTTCTCTGTGACTTTTAAGTTTTGCTGAAAACTTCTTAAATGGACTATGTGACCCTAGGGCTGTGGAGATGCCCGTTGTTGTGCTGAATTACAGCTGCTGCTAGAGCTGAGCCTCGTGCTCCTCGCAATGCATGCAGAAATCTGAAATTGCAGACTTGCGTGGTAAAGCAGATTCTTGGAGTGACAGAGAAACTACTATTGCAAGCTTTCATTTCCCTCAGTTGCAGCTATTCCAAACATAACAACTTGAACAGTAGTGTAGGCATTAAGTGTTTCTGCATCCATATCCAGGCCTATAAAGTAGTCGAGCAAGGACAGTGTGGTCTTTTAGGAGTAGAAAGTTGTTTTGTTTGTTTGGTTTTCACAGTGGCATCACAACAAACCACCTTGGGTTTGAAGAAGACAGACAGGGAAATGCTAAAGCACACTAAGCCTGTTCTTTTAACTTTTCTGAAACTGTCACAGGCATGAAGTAATATTTTAATTGATGCAAAATTGGTTGCATCCAGGTAGGTGACAGTGGGCATTGCTCTGCTGCTGTGATTTGTGTAGTGTTTCAACCTGGAAAGGAAACTGCTCGGATTCAGTCTGACTTCCTATAACATCAGCTATAGCATCTGGTGCAGCTGATTCTTTACCAAGCTGAAAACAGTTGGCTAAGGAACCCCTAGTCCATCTCATTTCCTTAGATGCAAAGAATAGCAGTGGTTTGTCAGCTGTAACTAACCAGTGCTGGATATTCCGACTTGAAAACAAACTGGAAAGTTTGGGTGCCCTTTCTTCTCTTGTTTGTATTTAAATATTGGTGCGACAAGGGTTGTTTTGTGACAGGAAAGACCCAACGATCTTACAAAACGTGCAGAACAAGCAGGCTGTGTCTTGTTACGATATTCCTACCCTACGAAACTCCCTTTGGTGCGTTTTGATAAACTTGGCCTTATTAATAGTGCTAAGCTGCAAGTAAAGTAATATGTAGAACTGCTTATGTGTTGTATATTTGTAACAGTATATTGGGCTCTTCAGCCATTGTGTTGCAAAGCGTGTGTGAAGAGAGGTAAGCGATATTAATCTCATTTACTGTCTGGGGAGTCTGAGACTTGACAGCTTTTTCTGAAACATCCCCTAAATCTGAGTACTTGCCAATGAAGCCCTTGTACTTTATGGCTGTAGTTGGTGAATGCAACACGCGATATCTCCAGTACAGCACAAAGTGAAAATGAACGCTCAAGTTTGCCTTAAGTGATGTGCCTAAAGAGATATAGGTTGGTAGCAGAATAAGAAAGGGAGCATAGTCTCCTGGTTCCCTAATTTTGTGCTTCATCTACTGAGAAGAAGTTATGTGACCACTAAGTGAACTTGAGTGTCTGTACGTTTCGTGCTATAAGTTGTAAGGTCAGTTAATAACATGAAGATAGAAAGGGATCAAAACGAGCTCTAGATCTTGTTGTATCTCTTTGCTTTTTGGCTGCATAGCGCAAGTTGATGGAAGGGAGTGGAAACAGAAAGTGTTGGTGGACATAAGCGTCCCTGGACTGGGATATCTTGAAGGAGAGTATAGGTGCCTCCAAGACACATCTTGAATGCACTAACATAGTGCAATGCATTTGGTGTACTGCAAAGCAAGAGGTGATCTGTCAAACTTGGCAGCATTGTCTATATGTGCATGAGTAGATATACAGTCTCACTGCCTCTTTGATACTAACTTCACCCTTCACTTGGGGTCCTGTGGGCCATCTCTCTTGGGTCTTTGTGCCATTGCAGCCATGGTTTTTCCCTCTTGCTGCCTGTTAGAGATTAGCACTCCATTCCTATCTGATACAAACTGGTATCTTAAGAAATGCATCACCTTGAGTTTTAAGAAATGTCCCTGCCCATATAATGAAGTGTATTTAAACACATTCCATTATTTTTGCTTGCATGAATCTAGTTTAATGCTGTGGGGGGGGGGTGGGGGGGGAAGAGATAACCCAACATATATTTTGAATGGATAGAGTAATGATTAGGTAGAGCTGACCTGGTTTCTTTTAAGGCTGCATGTTGTTTCCCTGTTGTGGGTTTTTTTGATTCTTATTTTTTTGGCCAGTTGTTTTGGAGAAGAATAGGCTGGGAGGAGGGAAGGAAGAGGCAGGTTTTACCCTTGCATCCATCATTGTTAGCTGTAACTTTTAGTAGAGGTTTGCTTCCTTGACTTGATCTTTGCAAAACTGGAGAAATGTGTTTTCATTTGTATTTTCATCTTGTTACGTTTTAAAACTATTTTAACTATACCAGATTGTTTGAACATTAATGAGGGGAAATGTTTTTTGGAGTTTTGATAGAGTTTCCAGACAGCTTTTCACTAGCCAAGCGCTATACCAGGCTTTCCGCAGTGGGTTTCTGCTTGGTTTGCACTGAGAATATGCAAAGCAACTGTTTGAAATTGCTGACACATGTTAAGTAACGTGGAAATCACCATCTTGCTCCACTGAAGTCTGAATGCTTGTGTCTGCAGTAGAAATAGGATCTGACCCCCCCTCCCCCCCCAAAATTATACCTGAACTGTGTTAACCTGGAGAACATCTACTAGACGGTGTCCTCTCTCTGACTCTGGCTAGTTTGACCTTTTTGTTACGGGTATTTTTAGACTTTTAGCTTGCTCAGTCTCTTAAAAATACCCTATTCTACCTGTTTCATGTATTTTTAAATGAGTCAACCAAATGCGTGTACTTGGCAATGCTAACTAAAGCAGAGTCTCAGTTCCTCACTTGAACGGCAGGAGAGGTAACGCCTAGCTCTAACAGTAATGCTATTGGTATAACACTTGTTAATGAGAAATCCATCGTCTTCCACCTCTCTCCTCCAAACCTCCACTTCTAAACTTTGGAGCAGCTGTAATCAGCCAGTATAAGTTCCCTTCCTCCCCTCACGAGTAAATCCAACTACCTTATCTTCTATATCGGAAAGTCTTCCTTGGTTTTAACGGCCTCTCTAGGAGCACATATAAAAGGGGCTTTCACTAGCAAGCAGGAAGCAGAATGAATAGAGGAACTTTTGATAATGCCCCGTCTGTCTGAAAGGAGGATCAGCCTAACTAAATTGTACCAGATTGGTGAATGATAGTGCTTCAGCCAGGGCCAGAATTACAAGTTTTTAATCTTGGAACAAGCAAAGACTTCTTCCTCTTAAATAGCGATCAACTCCCTCTTTGATTTTTTTTCAGCCTACAGTCATCCATATTCAGTTAGTTTGAGGGGTGTGTTTTTTTTGGTCTGCATTCACGGGCCTTAACAAGGCCTGAGTGAATTTTCTTGATAGTTGTTTTGGTAGATTTGATAGTGGCCACGCACTCTTATCATTTCTGCCTGTTACTGCCCTGTGCTTTTTAAAGCTGTGTGATTTTTATGCCCATAATAATCTTGAATATTGCAGCTTTCTTCAGATGGATAAGTGTTGTGGTACTTTATGGGATTTTTCAGTTAGGCCTGGGATTGTTTGGATGTTTTTTAACAAGCAACTCTTCTGGTTCCAGCTGCCTTCAACCTGACTAGAGCAGGTGACTCTTCCGTGCTTCCCACCCCACAGTTTGTTCCACTCTTTCTGATAACCCAGCAGCGCTCAACAAGCGCGACAAATGACTAAACGTCTAAATGGGGCAGCCTAGCTAATTGCTTTAGGCCTGACTTGTCCACTGGATTTTACTGGTTTTATTCCAGTCCAGTGCGATTGACACTTGTGGATGCACTGATATAACACTGGCAACACCAGTGGAAAATCTGTCCTTGTGCTTCTGGTATGTTTGCTTCCTGAGCAGCACCTTCCTGTCACTTACTCTTCTGTCTGAAATGCAAAGTGATGGAGTGAAGGTGTGGTTTTGTTTTGTTTGTTTGTTTTTTAACCATTGACTTTTCCTGTTCCCAAGAAATAAGTGAACAAAAGGTTTAAAATCCAATTTACTAAAATCTTTGTACTTCTCTGTATTTTTCAGGTTTTTTTCCCTTGGATTTTAGTATTGGAAAACTCTCTAATGACAGCTTTGCTTAGGTAAGTGGAGCAAGACTTTTTTTTGTGGGTCGTCTTTAGAATCAGTTCCCCGTCTGACTTCTGCGTGTTGTGTTGTAACTGCGAGCTGCCAGCCAGCTGCACGGCATGTGCTGTGGTTAAGGCTTGAAGATGTAGTAAACAAAAGTAGGAGTAATGTCTGTAGTATGACTTAAGGACTTCAGTTTAATCAAATGAAGTAGACATAGTGCGGTATACTGAAAGATATCTTTAATCTGCGTATTACTGCACAATTTTATACGTTTATAAGAGGCTATTTTGCCTGAGAGTTGCTCTGTAGGTTTTTGAAAGTAAACAGTTTTTGTTGGTTTCACTTAATGTCATTTCGTTAGGAAAGTCAAGCCTTAGTATTTCGAAGCCTGTAAATACAGTCACTCGTCCTCCAACCCTATCTCTCCCCCCTTTCCTTTTTCCGTTCAGCAGTTCTAGGTAGGATCTTTTGACATTAAGGACAAATCATAGGAAGCTGGAAAGATTTGTGGCTTTTTTTGCTCCAAAAGCTGGAAAAACTTGAAGCAATTTAACATCCCTCCCTGTCCCCCAGTCTCCCCAAACCCATTTACGACTCTAAAATGCTACGTTTTTGCATCACATTCAAGCTGATCTTGGGCAAACAGAGTTTTTGAGGGTGGATTGCAAACATGTGGGGTTATACTGGTCTTGTTGATTTCAGGATAACAGAAACTTCACAGACTTTGCAAACTTTGTTCCTGTGCTGTTAAGCACCAAAGGGGCTTTCTCCTAAGCTGAAGTCCAGCCCCGCAGTAGGCAGAAGGGCTAACAGTATGGCGTTACCCAAACGCACTGTGTTTTCCATTTTCTGTGATGGAGAGAAGGTTTGGCTGACGCTTGCTGCAAGGCAACAAGTTCACCTACAGATACGCTGCTTATGTGGTGTTTTAACTGCATGTGGTGACTGCAGTATCCACATGAGTATTTAATATCCTAGAGTCTATGCTAACAACTCTAGAAGTGTTGTTGCCCTTCTGTTTTTATTTATTTGGTGACGTGTCTGTGAAAGGATCTTCTTTTCTCTCTCTCTCTTTTTTTTTTTTTTTGGTGTGTCTGGGTCTCTAGGGTCTCTAGCCGTACCCATCCTCTGTCCCTTTTGATCTCCTTCCAGTGGATGGTCAGCCTGTAAGCTTTTGGCCTGTTTTTCCATTGGGATCGTGGCCCTCAGTGAAGGGAAATCCAAATCAAATCCTGAAACTAAAAGTCTCCTTTGCTCCAGTCTGCTTCTCCGTGGCGTTTCTTTCTCTGCAGAGACCTCCAGGAGAGTGACCCCTTTGGAGTGACAGAGGTCTTTAGCCTTAAAATCTAATTTTAGTAGAATACAAAGCACCAGAGAGGGTCTTCAGTTCCCTTCAGTTTTCCTCTCAGGTAGTTTGTGTGAGTTTATCTGTTTTGCCAAATGGCTGGACTCAAACTCTCTTGTGTAATTTGTGTAATGTGGCTTTTGCCCTTTCCAGAAGTGCACACATCCTAGGTTTTTTTTTTTTTTTTTTTTTTTTTCCCCCTCCAGACTGTGGTGTACTGCACCCGGGATTGACTCTGTAGCCCTGCTATGTGGTCTGCCTGGTGGTTTGATAAACTGCAGGCAGTAAAGGTCTAAGACACACAGCTGGAGCTGGATACGCTGGAAGCCTTTGCACATGTCTTATTCAGAGCAGGTATCTCGACAGAGGTACTTGTAGGGTGCATGTCTGCAGCTGGCTTGTTTCTTCACGTGCTTTTTGCACCTTTGAGGTGATCCTGGGAGAAAGGGAATGGCGAGAAGGAAACCATGTCAAAAAGCTCATTTACTAAAAGGGCAGCTACTTGTTTCAGTGTCTCGTGCCGAGAGCAAGCCAGCGCCTTGTCCGGGGGTGCGCGTATCGTAGAATATGACTTTTCACAGCAACCCTGATGTTCGAACTACAGTTGTGTGGCTCATATCCTAGTCAGAACAGGAGCGGATGTAATGGTGCCTGGCTTTTCTCCTTCTTTGGGAAGGGATTTATGAAGGAAGATCTCTGGTTTCAAATTTCTTGTGCTAATGCTGCTGCTGCCTGTTGTTCCGGGGTGGGTGATCAAGACATGCATTGTTGTAGGGAAGTAAGGCGTGCTTGACCGTCGCAGCGTGCTCGCTCTGCAAGCGCTGGCTGCTCCCCGACGTCCTCCTCGGCTGTTTGTGGCCCTCTGCTACGCCGTTGAAGCAGGGCCTGATTTCCAGCCTGCGGGCTATATCGATACTGCAGCCTGGCCTGAGAGGGGAAAGCGCCGTGCAAACCAGTGAAGTATTTAGGCAGCCGTTCTAAAGCTAGCAGAGCTTTTTAACTTTGTATATTAGACACATCTATGAATTTATGCAGACCTAGCTAATAAATAACCCAGGGAATGGTAGTTAAGCGGAAAGGACGTAATTAATTTTGTCTTGTGCTCTGCTTTAAAGTTGGATCCAGACTAGTAATGCTTTATACTAGAAAGGTAAACACTGTCATTATTCAACAACGAAATGCGCACAAGGCTGACGTTGTTTTCCTCCTTTTGATTTAATCATTTTTTTGCAGCAGATTTAATATCTTAGATGGTCCTTGTTTGGTGCAGTGGAAGCCTGATAAAGCCCTACCCTTTCTGAAGGGTCATTACTCCTTTATTTTAATTCAGTTTTGTATTAATGCTGCTTTGCTGACACAGAGCATGTGCAGTTCGAGAAGGTGCTTACTGTGTTTGCTGCGGTTGGGGTGCCTGGCCACAATTCCTGCGATATAGTTTGGAGGGAGAGTATTTCTGTTTCATCAGGTGATCTCTTTTAAACTCCCCATGTCGCCACGTTGACCCAGGTCAAATACACATGCCAGGTAAAAAGAAAAAATCCGTTTTGTGGAGAGGCTATTGGAAAGCCGATGTGGATTGCTGTTAATTTGCACCTTGTTTTTATTTCCTCTACCAGAGCGCAGGGGAAAGGTCTGACTTTAGCAAATGTAACTTTACATGGCCCTTTAAGCTTGACATACTTTTCAGTGTGGGTTTTTTCTTTTCTTTTTTCAAGTGCAGATGTCATGGTAAAAATTATATAAAGCAAGGTGGTTAACTTTTTGGCTTTTGATCGTGGCTGATAATAGGGAAAAATGGTAAACTGGTTTCAGTTTGAAGCTTTCCTAGCCTCCCCCCCTTAACTACTCATAATGCAGCCCCTTCCTACTCCTTTCCCACACTTCCAATCTTTTCTTGATTATATCATTAGATAAACACACACACAAGGCCTGTGTATTCCTATTTCTGTCCTGTCCATGCTCCAGACAACCCAATCTGAATATCAGAAAATCACTTGAGTTTGCCTAAACCAAGACGCGTATCTAGAGCGTGTCAGTGTTGTGCAACCCTTGAACGCCTCTTCCTGGGGAGTTTTCTTACGAGTTTTGCAGCCCTGGCTCTTCCAGTGGAAGTCCTCAGTGGAAAGCGCTCATGGAGACACCAGTGGAATATCTGATGTAGCTCGGCAGCCGCCTCTTAAAATAAGTGGTGGAAGGATGCCTGCTACTCTTAGAAATATTTTCTTTGGAAGGCTAGCATCATCTCAGTGTATCTTTGGCTCTCTGTGTCTCCTTAGCAAACTATACCACTGATTACTCCTTTTTTTCAGCTGTTCCCAGCATGGTCAATTTAAATGTTCCTGGTAAAAAAAACAAAACATCAGGGTAAACTATTTCTATGCCTCCCCTTTAGTGTCTGCTTCTTTTGATTCCAGAAAGCTTACAAAACTCTCAGGAATGCTAGGAAGATGGGAGTCCTTCCTTGGGATGGATCCAAAAGATGTTGCATGTGCTCAAATTGCACAAGCTCTTTCCTCAAAATATGAAATTTGAGGGATGGGGAAGTATCTGATAGAAAACTGTTCACCCTTAGTGGGTGGCATGAAGCACATTAACGAGAGGGGCTATTGTTCTATGGTTAATGCATTGTTTATTTTGCAGCCAGTGATCTTTTTATTTTGCTGAGACAGATGGAGGGATTCCCAGTTCCACAAGCATAACCCTGGGAGAGATTAGTTGGTTTTAGGTTTCACCACTTGGACGATGAGGTTAGCCTGAGACAGAAATGCATCCCAGTGTATGGAAATGGTCTTGGCCCAGATCTTGTCTAGCAATGTAAAGCCTGAGAAAGGACCAAGAGGTCAGCTTCAGCTTCTTAAGGAATGTACTGTGTGCTCATTCTGTGGCATGTCTGGATTGCAGAGTTTTGGTTGTTTATTATTATTTTAAAGAAAAAAAGTCGGGTTACAAACTTGCATGTTATTTTTTAATGTGTTAATTGCAGTGCGTTCTACAAGTTATGTATTTATCATCAATATTTCAGGGCCATTGATATAAAGAACCCTAAGAGAAATTTTTTTCATAAATGAAAGGCAAAGAGCGTCTCTCACACATGCCTCTTCTGCCTCTAGCACCTTGTCCCTCTCTGTAGTAGGAAGATAGGTAGAAGGTAGGGGAAATATCCTGAAAATCTGAAGATGCCAGGTCTTTTTTTCTTCTTCCTCACCGATAGCAATCTTAATGAAGTAATTATTGTGCAATTCTCCCTGTATCTATTACAGAAATAAGCTGCTCTGTTCGCGTCAGAGCTGAATATGACCGATTGCCATTTTTGATGGTATATAGAAAACTGAACCTCTGAAACAAGCTAAAATGAACAGAAACTTGTTTCCTCTTTGCTCACATAGGCACTTATTCACTTCCCCATCTGCTTTGACTTTGAAGATTGCTGAGGTTCTTCCTCTGTCTGACCCACTTGGCATAAGCTAGAGATTATCTTTCTTCAATAGCCAAGTTTATAAGGCTTCAGCTTATTCATAAATAATCCTTGGAGTTTTGAGTGCTGCTTTTCTCCTTCTTTTCCCTTCAAATCTGGCTTGCTGTAGTTTGTGTACAAATCAGGGAAATGCTTTTGTAGCCTCCAGATAGAGAGGGGAGAGCTGGCCCAGTCACTAGGCATGTGAAATA